AAACGAACATTGAGAAAAAAAAAAAAAAGTAAATATATATATATATATATATATAGACACATATATATATATATATATATATACACACATATATATATATATACACATACATATATATATATATATATGCACACACACACACATATATATATATGCACACACACACACACACACATATATATATATATATATATATATATATATATATATACATTTATATAATGAAATGGATTAAATCTGACGATCATTTAATATATTTTCTGTTTATACGTCATTTAATAGATACTCAACAAAGCATTTACTTAAATTAATTGAATCTATTAAATAACCTATAAACAGAAAATATATTGAATATATATATATATATATATATATTCACTACAGTCCCAAAGTTTGAGGCCACCCCTGGTAATTTTTTAAATTAGTCCAAAATGTAGTTGTTTTGTACTTTAAATAAGAGAAATTTTTTATACATGGTTAAAAATAATTGAGACATGATTTTTTTATTAGAAATTTTATTATGACAAAAAGAAAAACGCATTTTATGATTAAAGTTTGCTCTCGTTAAAATATCCTCTTTTATTCTTGATTACTGCAGCTCAAATTTTAGGCATTCGTTGCTAAAGTTTCTCAAAGTATAAGTTTGCTAATTTATTCCATTCTCTCTTCAATGACACGAAGAGGTATTTTTCATTTTTTCGATAGAAAGTTTTCACTCCTCTGTCAAGTTTATCCCATGTTAATTCTGGGGTCGCTTCAAACTTTTGAAATGTAGTGTATACATTTTTCTTTTAGTTATTTGTCGTCTCTTGCTTGTGTTCCTGGTTTTGTTTATTCTTTCCTTCATTTTTCTGTTCACCTTAGTTTTCCTTTGCTGCTTCCATTCGCCATTTTTTTTGTTGTTTCGATTTTTGCTTTCGCCCTCCTCCTTTTTTTTCATTTTTTTTCTCTCTCTATTCTTCTATAGTTTTAGATTTGTTTCTTCAACTTTTTTTCTTATTTACTGTTTCTGCATCTTTTTACATTTTCGTCTTATATTAGAGTGGATCTGTGTTAATAAAATCGACAGCGGAAGAAGACGAAAAATATAGACAGACTCAACAAAGCAATATGGCGTATTTTGTTACCTCCCTTTCTGAGGTCCTTCCTTTTTTGTTTTGTTTTTGTTTTTTTTTTTTTTGTTTTTTTTTTTTTCTTTCGTGTCTACTTGTTTACTTATTTCTTTCGTTTTTTTTTTTTCTCTTTACTATGAAATTCCAATGTTTGTTATACGGTCGTACAAGCAATTTTTTTTTTCTTTTTCTTACCCCTTTCCTACTTACTCATATGTTTGTATACTATTTTTTTATTACCTCTTTATTTATTTATTTTTGTTTGTTTTATTTATTTTTGTGCCCCCCCTCCCTCTCTCTCGCTCTCCCCTCTCTCTCTCTTTTCCAATTCCCCGACCCCCATTTGGGAAGACGCGGTCGTTGGGCCGTAACAACAGGTGACAGACTGACAGACAAAGCGCAGCGAGACGAGAAAAAGGAAACAGTAGTTGGAGGGGGAGGTTGCAAAGATAAATAAAAAAGAAAAAAAGAAAGAGAAAAAGTAGAGATGGTAGAAGAGGAAGAAAAGGTAAAAGATTAACATGGATATTTACAAAGTAATAATAATAACACAAAAAAAAAAACCCGGGTAATCGGCAGTATCCTCGGTTTGACGCGGAATCATCTTGCCACACCCGAGATTTCTCAAGCGTGTCTAATGGATTCACTATCTAAGTAAAGGTCTACCTACTTTTTTTTTTTTTTTGGGGGGGTTGAGATGAGACTCGCTGAGCCCCGTCTGCCATAGGATTTAACTGTGAAATACAAAGACAAGGGCTTAGTACAGGAATGCTGGAACTAAAGATTAAACCAAAGTAACACACATACACATGTATCTACACAGACATATATTTTTCTACCATTTCAAACGTTAATATATATATATATATATATATATGTGTGCGTGTGTGTGTATAGAGAGAGAGAGAGGAAGAGAAAGGAATATAGAGAGAGTATAAGGAGATTGCGTAAAGATGAAATAACCACGACATTCTAGTCATGCGCATATACGGACACACACATACAAAGGAGAAAAATCAATCTACGACCATCAAGCAAGCGCATAAATTATTTTTTAACTTAATATGAAAAATAACGAAAATGTGATAATCGGCGGGCGGATACCTCCTGAACGATTATAAAAAGGTTTGTCTACGAAACTCTGGAGTCGGGTGCTGAATAGAATATCAATCAGCTAAATGACAAAATTTTTATTAACCCGATATATATATATATATATATATATATATATATATATATATATATATATATATTGTCAGAGTGTAACTGTACAGACGACGAAATGAATAAAAGAGGGGAAGAGGAAAATGTATTTTTAGCCGACGAGATCCTTTATCAAGGATACGTATTGCCTTGATAAAGTCCTCAAAGAACGAAACGCGTCGGCTAAAAATACATTTTCCTCTTTGTCTCTTTTATTATATTCATATATATATATATATATATATATATATATATATATATATATATATATAGGGTTATGATGTTTTGTAAAATAATTGATTTTCTGTATCATTTCAACGAACTTTTGTAAAGTTATTTAATTCTATTTATTTTTTAAAAATATTACTCCAATACAAAATTTCTAAATTCGTATATAAGTGTAGTAATACTATGACATTCTGGAACATTTGTATATTAAATACATAAGTACTATTCAATTATATCATTAGCAAATTGAAAAATAAAACTTCTGAAATTTTGTATTTTGACCCTTATTGTGTGTATGGTAAAATCAAATTTTCGGCTTGGGGTGACCTTTCTCAAGAACTAAAACAAATTAATGCTCTTTTTATTACTTTTGGACAAAATTTCATCGATTTATGACAGAAACATAGAGCTTAAGAAAAGTTAATCCTTAACATATCTATCTGTCTCTCTTTCTCTCTATCTCAGTGTTATTTTCATTTTTGCGTCATTTCGATGGCAATTTACCCATCACACCCTGGGTACCTGTTAAAATGAGATGTTAGTGTTATTTTCATTTTGGCATCATTTAGACGACAATTTATGCATCGCACAATGTATTTTGTTAAAATGAGATTTTGTGTTATTTTATTTTGCATCATTTAGACGACAATTTAAAATCAAATTATATCTGTTAAAATGAGATGTCAGTGCTATTTTCATTTTTGCCTCATTTAGAACAATTTAAAACAATGTATATCTGTTAAAATGAGATGTCAGTGTTATTTTCATTTTTGCCTTTTAGAACAAAATTTATGCATCGATTTATCTGTTAAAAAGATAGTGTTATTTTCAAAGTTATAGCATTTAACGACAATTTATCCATCTGTCAATGTATATCTGTTAAAATGAGATGTCAGTGTTATTTTCATTTTTGCATCATTTAGACGACAATTTATGCATCGCACAATATATATCTGTTAAAATGAGATGTCAGTGTTATTTTCATTTTTGCCTCATTTAGACGACAATTTATCCATCGCACAATGTATATCTGTTAAAATGAGATGTCAGTGTTATTTTCATTTTTGCCTCATTTAGACGACAATTTATGCATCGCACAATATATATCTGTTAAAATGAGATATCAGTGTTATTTTCATTTTTGCCTCATTTAGACGACAATTTATGCATCGCACAATGTATATCTGTTAAAATGAGATGTCAGTGTTATTTTCATTTTTGCCTCATTTAGACGACAATTTATGCATCGCACAATGTATATCTGTTAAAATGAGATGTCAGTGTTATTTTCATTTTGCCTCATTTAGACGACAATTTATGCATCGCACAATGTATATCTGTTAAAATGAGATGTCAGTGTTATTTTCATTTTTGCCTCATTTAGACGACAATTTATGCATCGCACAATGTATATCTGTTAAAATGAGATGTCAGTGCTATTTTCATTTTTGCCTCATTTAGACGACAATTTATGCATCGCACAATGTATATCTGTTAAAATGAGATGTCAGTGTTATTTTCATTTTTGCCTCATTTAGACGACAATTTATGCATCGCACAATGTATATCTGTTAAAATGGGATGTCAGTGTTATTTTCATTTTTTGCCTCATTTAGACGACAATTTATGCATCGCACAATGTATATCTGTTAAAATGAGATGTCAGTGTTATTTTCATTTTTGCCTCATTTAGACGACAATTTATGCATCGCACAATGTATATCTGTTAAAATGAGATGTCAGTGTTATTTTCATTTTTGCATCATTTAGACGACAATTTATCCATCGCACCCTGTATATCTGTCAAAATGAAGATGTCAGTGTTATTTTCATGTTTGCGTCATTTAGATGACAATTTATCCATCGCATCCTGTCAAGAGATATCTCGTCTAGTTCTTTATTTACATCTGTTCTTTTGTCTAGCCTAAACCAAAGTAACACACATACAGATCGTTAGTTCGTGGATTTGGTAAGCTTTTACTTTTTCGATGGGATATTCGTATTCCTTTCCATGCACGTCGCATACATTGTCTCTGCATGCTGGCCTTTCGAACTATTCTTCCCTGACGCACGCATTAATCACGTTACCAGCCAGTGAACTGGTCGAATTACACCAGCACCCCACGATCTGCATTATGTTTTTGGAACCTCAAGTTCATCATTTGTTTTTTTTTTTTTTTTTTAAATCATCGACACTTGATTTGGTTGGATGTTTTTGTTTAACAGTATATCAACTATTCTTTGGTACTTAATTTTATTTTTGGATATAATAACGGTTTAATGATACAAATTTTGCTAATTAACCCATAGCTAGGAGGGGCGAAGTGATGGATTAATACCTTTCCAGTGGGTATTTTTGACGTTAAGTGAATATAACGAACCCAACTGGAATTGGAACTCGGCTCTCCGATTAATAATTCCGAGCTATTATCTATTACATCACTCGTCCAGCCAAACTTACAACATCGGGTATTCCCATGCGGTTACCCATCTCAGTACTGACTAGGCTCAACGTTGTTTAACTTTGGTGATCGTAAGTGAACCGGTGTTTCAGCGTGATATGGCCATAGTCCATACTAATGGCACACCCAAGTTTACTGTAGCTGTTATTTCCATGCGGTCACCCATCACGGTACTGACCAAGCTCAACGTTGCTTAACTTCGGTGATCATAAGGGAACCGGTGTTATAACCTGATATGGCCATAATCCATACTAATAACACACCCAAATTTACTGTAGCTGGTATTTCCATGCGGTCACCCATCACGGTACTGACCAAGTTCAACGTTGCTTAACTTCGGTGATCATAAGGGAACCGGTGTTTCAACGTGATATGGCCGTAAGCCATACTAATCGCTCACCCAAGCTTACTGGAGGTGGTATTCTCATGCAGTTACCCATCTAGGTACTGACCAAGCTCGTTATTGCTTAACTCCGGGGATCGTACGGTGACCGATGTTTCAACCTAATGTAAGCACCTACGCTTGATCAGCTAGCGCATAACATGCGTGCGGTTTCTTTCAGCTTTCTTATTCTCTAATGTTGTTTCCTGTTATTTTGTGCCCATTGCATAGATTTTCGTACTTCCCTCGTCTTTATCCTCCTATAAATGCGCAACTTTCCTTTCCTATCAAAATTAACACATTGTTTTTTTTTTCTTTTCAGGTGAGTAAAACCTGGCGATCAGTTTTAAATGAATGTCTGTGAGTATTTCTGACTTAGATTTTATTATTTGAAGCTTAAAAAGGTTACGATTAAAATTGCAATTATGCGCCACATAACAATGTGCCTTTTGCAGAGCCAGTGCAAGTATCTCGATCCGCCCCAAATCTATGACCACCGTACCAATCTATGACATGGGTTCCCCACTCTACTCCATCACAATTTTCATAAGGTAGTATTCATTGATTGTAGGGGAACCGATATATATATATATATATATATATATATATATAATAAAAAAAGACAGACCACGTTAAGATTCCATGTAATAAGCTATTTCACCATAACCCCTTTAACAGGGTTCTGGATCATCAGACTTCCAAAATCTGAAACATGAAAACATGTTTTATTCAAACATATCTGCTCTGAATTTTACATTGAGCTCTCTGGATATCATCCTCCTCAGGTCTACCCATACGGATTACCTAAGTTTGCATAAACTATATATATCTAACTGAGAAGAAAAGACCTTTAAAAGACAGACCCATAGCTACTGGTGTCGTGGGCCCCGATCGAATATATAAACCCTCTACTACATTTCAATTTTCATAAGGTAGTATTCATCTAATATACAAATTGTATCGTAACCTAATTATATACAATAATGGATCATATGCAATAGAGGTGAACAATTCAACGAGAAAAACTGAAAATAAATACAATGACTATTTATTGTAAGATAATTACAATTTGGGTCGATGGTGTAATTGGATGAGGCTAGTCAACACTGACTATCCTACACTTAGCTAATCTGATACACAACCCATTCGTTCATTACAATATAGTCCATCACTACAAGAACTCATGCATGATCATTCAATCTAACATATACCAGAATACTTCATATTCACAGGGATCCTACTAAAATATACCTGACATGTATCTTAATATAAATTAGAGACATGTCATAATAGATCATTCCATCTTAAAGCAGCAATGTTTTGTGGCAATTTTTTTAACATCAACTTGAGATTTTTCTTGTGTAAAAAGTAGGATAATTTTAACTCATTCAACCTTATGGATAAAAAATAATGGATTTTATAAAGTGTTTCTTTAGAGACATAAGATTAGCAAAACAAATTCACGGATTTGGACACTCTCCCCCTCAGAATGACGTGAAAATCCGCAAATTTTGTTTCATCCTCTAATAATGAGTGGTTCTTTGTTTAATTTGTAACGCACACAAATGTTGGTAGAAAAAAAAGCAAATGTTGATATAATAATTTATAACGAATAAAAATATGAATGTAATGTTTATTAAATATAAATTTATAACGTATATAAATGTAACGTATGTGAATATAAATATAACGCATATAAATATAATTATAACGTATATAAAATGTAAATCTGTAACGCCTTTAAATATAAACGTAGCGTATATAAATATGAATCTGTAACGTATATATGTATATATATATATATATATAAATTTGTAACGTATACAAATGCGTAATTTGTAATGTATAAAAATAAAATGTTGTAACATATATAAATATAAATGAAACCTATATAATTGTAACGCATATAACATTTGTAACTCATATAAATGTAACGTATATAAAAATGTAACGTGTGTAAAATAAATTTTGTAACAAATATAAATTTAACGTAAATATATATAACTTTTAATGCGTATAGATATAAATGTAACGTATGGAAATATAAATGTAACGTATATAAATTGTTGCGTATCTCTATAAAAGGCAGGATGTCTGTGTGTGTGTAACGAATGCACGGCCGCAATTTTCGACGGATTTGCACCGAAATTTATATGCACATCCTCCAAGTTAGCAGGAAGGCCAAGACCGACATTGCATTTCCCAACTCCCGTCGATAGTGGAAATAATCGATTTTTCAAGCTTCTATGGCAGTTTTCATGTAGTTTGCGGCCATTTTCTACTGGCAAGAGTGAGAGCCAATATCTGGCTTCCACGAATAGGCAGGAAGATTCTATTGGCCAGCGTGAGAGCCAACAGCTGACTGACACGAATGTTAACTAGCATGCGAGCATGCAAAAAAAAAATCGATAGCTGCATTCGTCACAAGTGGGAAAAATTGAAATCTGCATGGCACTTTACTCCAACTGGCTCATTCGCTTGCTTAAACTCAACGTTGATTCTGATTCCGCAGAACTGGGTTGGATGTGAAAAAGTATTTGTTGTTAACATTCTTTTTTCATTTGTTTTTTCCAGTTACGAGTCCTTTTTTAAAGCTGATCGTTTTGTGTTCATTTTGTTTAGTTCTTTTTTTCGTAACAGATTTAATGTTTAGTATAGAGCTTAGAAAAAATTCGCAGTGTGAGATAGGCAAGAAGTAAGGCATGTAGCAACATCAGCACGGCAAAGGGCACGCCTTTAAAGGCAAGGAAGGGCAAAAATATTTTAATTCAAGTGATAGCGATTGCTGTATAAGTCGTACGATTTTTTAATAAAGCACGGGCAACCTAATAGTGAAATTGTCCATTCTTTTTCTCAAGAGGCCCAGTGCTCCGATTACTATTGGTACAGTCTCATCATCATCATCATCATTATTATTATTATTATTTGTGTATGTTCCGTTTCCTGTTTTGTATCCTGTAGAGCCGGGTCCAAACTATGGTTCTTCGGCCTTATAGGAGAATTGTCATTTAATTGATAACACTATTCTTAGTATATGGGATGTTCCTGGTAAGGCGATCTTTTTGGCAACCTGTATGTTGATATTACCCGGGGAATTGTTTGTAAAATTGCGATTCCTTTTCTCATAAGGCCCAGTGCTCCGATTACTATTGGTATAATCTGTCTTCTTTCCCTACATCCTGTTAATCCCAATCTCCAGGTTCTTGTATTTAGACAATTTCTCAGTAATTATCATGGAGGTGTTTCTCTCAGATGGTACTGATATGTCTTTAATCGCCATTCGCACATCCATTTAAGAGAAAAGGAAGTTGTGGTGGGGACATAATTACGAACGGCGTTCTAAAGGAAAATATTTAAAAATAGTTCTAATAAAATCAGAAATAAATTTATTTGATATATTTTAATAAGTATCATGTTTTATTTATAGAATGGAAATAAGTAATATTTCAATTGACTACTTACTATATGCCGGTGGCTGTCACCAGAGGACCGCTGGTGTTGACATCGGCGGCCCGGCAGTGGGCCACTAGCGGCTGGCGCGTAGGGATAGCTAATACAGTATTTTTAATCTTATTTTTATGATTAATACCAAATTAAAATTATTAAAATAATTAATAAAACTAAAAAAAAAAAAAAAAAAAAAAAAACCTTCTCGACTTATATTGAACGTGTAGATGCTGAAAAAATGTCCGCTTCCTTTTATCGCTCCAAACCATGCTTTATGCCTACAAGAGAATCCGATCAGAGCAATTATGGAGTATTGCTGCCATTTCTGGGTTGGTGCTTGAAAAAACCTCTCATTTCAGCCTCAACAGAATTCAAAAGCGTTTATGCAGCCTTGTAGACGATGAGTTATTTTTCACCCTAGAGCCCCTCTTGCACAGATGCAACCAGCCAAGTCTCTTGCCGACTGAGATAGACAACTAATATACGATAATAGATTGATAACAAATATACGATGATAGATAAGGAATATACGATAAGAGCTAGATAGATAACGAATATAGGATAACGGCTAGATAGATAACAATTAAAGTATAATAGCTAGATAGATAACGAATATAGGATAATAGCTAGATAGATAAGGAATATGGGTAATAGATAGATAACGAATATAGGATAATAGATGGATAGCGAATAAAGGATAAGATAGATAACGGATATAGGACAATTGATAGGTAGTAGATAACGAATGTAGGATAATAGATGGATAACGAATATAGGATAACAGCTAGATAGATAACTAATATAGGAGGATAGATAGATAACGAATATAGGATAATAGATACGTAAAAAATAGTCATTTAGTTAGGCAAGGTGAGATAGACTCGCAGTCTGATAGCTAACTAGCTAGACAGACAGACACATAAATAGATAGATAGATACAGTCAATCTGCACTGTGAGTTTCCACACTTCAGTTAAAATCAACTGGTGACTGCGTACTCCAATTCATATTTAACACTAATGTGTAAAATGCATTTCAAATTTAATGTGACTTCATACAGCAGTTGAAATTGAACGAGATTTGTTTTAATGCAGCTCAAAGATTTAATGGAAGATTTTTTTTAATGCAGTTGAAATTTAATGGAAGATTTTTTTTAATGCAGATGAAATTTAATGGAAGATTTTTTTTAATGCAGTTGAAATTTAACACTTTTTTTTTTTAACTCAGTTGAAATTTAACGAGAGATTTTTTAAAAGCAGTTGAAATTTAACATTTTTTTTACTCAGTTTTTAACGAGAGATTTTTAAATGCAGTTGAAATTTTTTTTAACTCAGTTGAAATTTAACGAGAGATTTTTAAATGCAGTTGAAATTTAACATTTTTTTTAACTCAGTTGAAATTTAACGAGAGATTTTTAAATGCAGTTTTTTTTTTAACTCAGTTGAAATTTAACGAGAGATTTTTAAATGCAGTTGAAATTTAACATTTTAACTCAGTTGAAATTTAACTTAACAGTTGAAATTTAACGAGAGATTTTTTAAATGCAGTTGAAAT